GGGGGGGGGAGAGACACGCATGAGGACACCCAGCTGCAGGGAGGGAGCCCCGCCTTCAGATTCAGTGCCACTGAGGGGTTCTCAGGGACTGAGACCCTCACCCCTGCATCACTGATGATACGTCTGTCCTCGTGACGGCCGCAGGCAGGCTGGGTATACGGGGCGGCCATGCGGGAAGGCAGCCTCAGCCATGCCCTGAAGGAAAGTCCCCATCTCCCCCCATCTCGCTTCCCATCCCCATCAGAAGCCTTCATCCCCCCAAGGCCTCCATCCCCTTGAGGCACCACCCAACCCGTGTCTCTCAGACCCACGCGCTGGGTTCTCACTCCCCGAACCCTGCGTGCAGGCTCATCAGGGCTCTCTGTTCCCTGGAAGGCCTCTCGGCTCTCTGTACCTGGGTTCCCACCCCACTGCGCCCAAGTTCAGTGGCAAGTCTGGAGGAGCCCTCCCTGGTCCAGCTCTTGAGACCAGGGGAGACTCTTGGGCCAGGGGCTGTGGACATCAAGATGGAGGTGTATGGTCTGCGTTGACCCCTGAGCCCAGCCCAGCCCCGGGCCCCTTTTCAGGGTGGCTGGTAGTGACACTCTTGGTCTCCGAGCCCCAGCAGGTTTTGATGCGGGAGACCGAGCGGCTCCGCTCATGCACGTGTTTGCGGCTGGACTTCAGGACGCGGGGACACACACCTATAGGAAGGAGCCTGGCAACACCTGACTAGTACAAGCACCCACTTTCTCTTTGTAAACACCCCGCTGCTGGCACGGCTGTTGGCAGACACGCGCTCTCGTGCACACTGCGCACGCCTCTTCTCCAGGCCAGCCCCACTCTGACCGCACTCCTGTCTGCGTTAACACAACTGACTCATTCTCAAAACGTAGTGACTACATGGTATTTACTGTACTAGCATTAAGCGACACCACCAAGCTCTGCTCTGGCGGGGCATCCGGGCCTCCTCAAAGTGCAGTGTCCTCCAACTCACGATGAGAAACAACCAAGCAAGGTCACACTGCGATCTCCGTCCCTATCCCAGCACGTGCGTGGCCACAATTCTGGCTTCTCTGCCCATGTGTCCAGGCCATGCAGGGGCCCAGGGCTGCGTGTCCTCACCGAGTATAGGCACCGCACCCAGGCCCAACCCAACGCAGCCTCCGCATCTGCTTCCTGCAGACAGACCGCCTCCTCGGTCCCTCGGGGACTGACAGCCAGTGACCCTTCCCAGCAGCTTGGCCAGCGTCAGAACTGTTGGCAGAAGTCTGGAGTGCAGATGGGCCACCAGTGTGCTGGGATCCCCCTGGGGACGCTAACAGCCCTGAGAGCAGAGCGGCCTCAGGAGCCAAGGCTCCGGGCTCCAGGTGTGAGCTGCGCCATCACCAGCTCTGTAGCCTTAACAAGGACACGAGCGCGTGGCCCCGGGAGCAGGGAAGCAGCAGACCCTGGGTGCCAGCCAGCCCTGCGGCTCGTGACGGTGCTCTGTGCGCTGGCGCTGTGACCCGCTTATCTGCTCAGTCAGGTCACAGGCCTGTTGTCACTCATCTTGTTCAGTCTCCAGAGTCACATCCCCACTGGCCCCGGGGCACACTGGCTGCCAGGCCTGCTTGTGCTGTCACCATTCCGAGGGGGACACTTGCTGGCAACACAGCCACAGGAAGGGCCCAAGTGCTCTTCTGGGCACCTTCCTCTGCCCTCACCCCAGGATCTCAAAGCCCGGTGCCTCTGGAAGGTTACTCAGGCATTCAAGTCCAAGGCTACAGTTCTGGGTTTTTAGGCAAAGATGCAGAACTCTTCCAAACCCTGGCACAGCCAGAGAAAGGTCAGAGCAAGACCCCAGATCAGAAAGCTGACCGGTGTTGCGCACCCCTATGCCCGCCACACTGTCACACTGTCACCAGGCCCATGTTTATTCTCTGTCAGTTAAAGGCACAAAATCACCAGAACTCTCTAGGCCCCGGTGTTTGCACAGTGCCTGGATGATACGTCAGATCTCTCAGGCTCCAATGTCACAGGAAGGTGGAAATCCCAACCCCGACCAGAGTAGAAAACCCCTACCAATTCCTAAAATTGCCCAGAAAATAAAAATGCTATTCTACTTGTTTGTCAGTGGTTATGAAGTCCTTAAAACGCTGCTGGACTCTACACAGGTGGTGCAAACATGCACCGCCCGGTGAGTGGGCGGCGGGTGATTTAGCCCTCCCGCGCTCAGGCCCTGAGGACGCAGAGGCGTGAGCTTGTCCCCCCTGGGCAACCCCACGCGCCTCCGGTCCCTCACTCCTCAGCCAGCCCCGGGTGGGCGTCATGGCCGCCGCACCCTGCAAGGAGGATGAGGTGACCCCAGCACGTCCGAAGCCACAAGGGTCAGATGGATGACAGCCAAGTCAGAGCTTCACACAAACCGACAGAGAGAAAGGAGAGGAAAGAGAAGCTGGGAAGGGGCAGGAAGCCACTGGGTACGTACCTCCTAACGCAGAACAAGCAGGGACAGCCCGTCACAGAACAGAAAGGTGGGAGCCACAAGCAGAAGGAAAACAACAAGAAGGCACATTTAAACCACGCATCAAAAACCAGCCACACCAAACCAAGAGAGGCGGCAGCTTCCGGGGTGGCGGCGCCTGCCTCTGGTACAGAAACTGCCGTGGGCTTATCTGGACACTAGGGGAGGCAGTTTGCTGGGACGGGCACTGTGTGCGACCCCGACAGAATGGCCTCGCTCGGCAGGGCGCGTGGGATGCTCCGTGGAGCGTTCGTGCCTCCGGTCGGGGAGGCGCTGGAGGCACCGCTGGGGCTGCTGCCGCGGGAGGAGGGGCCTCGGCTCGGTCCCGCCCCCAGCGCCGCTCACCCAGCTTCAGGAGCCAGCCCTCCCGGTCCGGGTTGAAGAACGTGTGCGTCAGGTCATTGCCATCGTCCTCGGGAATCTTGAACGGCTCGTTCTTGATGCTCTCGTACAGGTTCTGCGAGGAGGGAAGGCGGCGGGCGCGGGGACTCAGGCGGAGGAGGAACGGCCGCCCCCGCGTCGCCCCCCAACACGGGGCCCAGGCACCCGGTGAAGACGCCGTGAAACAAACGACCTGGCGCCGCTGCCCTTGAGCTGAGCCTGACGCTCCTGAGCACTGAGCACAGAGATCGAGGACGGGGGACACGGGGGCTCACCCGTAGCAGCTCCTCAGGGAGGTCCCCGCCCTCGTTGATGCCGCGGTTCATGGTGACAAAGCGCTCGGCTGTGGGCTTGTCGCGCACGTTGTGGTTGTGAAGGCTGGTGTTGAGCATGATGATGGCGAAGGACAGCACGTAGCACGTATCTGGGGGGAGTCAGGGCCGCGGGGCGTCAGCGCTGGCCCAGCGCGCGACGCCCCTGCGTGTGCCCGGCGCCCGCAGCCCGCACTCACCCGTGGACTGGAAGACGCCGGGGTTGCACAGGCAGTAGCGAGCCGCAAACGCTTCCATCATGCGGTCGATCTTCTGCGCCTCGCCCGGGAGTCTGAAGCTCCACAGGAACTGCCTGCAGGGGGACGAGAACCAGGGGGGCATGCGCGTCTCCACGGCTCGGCTGGGCGGCGCCTCCGCGCCTAGAGGCCCTGGTTGGGGCTGCGGGCGGAGCACGGGTACCCACGGGACACAGTGGCACGGCCGCTGTCTGTGCTCCGCCATCCACTTGCGGGAGCGAGTCGGGAGCCCACGCGGCTCTGGGCCAGACACTGACCCAGAGGAACAGAATCCACGTGGATGCACCCCAGGCTCGTCAAGCCTGCACCTCCCCCTGACACCATTTTCAAACACTAAATCTAAAACTCCTGAACCACGGCTGCAGGATTGGAACCCGCCAGTGTGCCCTTCAGCCGAGGCCAGGGGCTGAGCCCACAGACGCGAGTGTCAGACAGCAACACGGCTGCCACCTTGGTTCACAGGTGGGGGAACGGCCACGAGGAAACAGGCTCGAGCTGGGGCACAGCACAGAGGAAAAAGGCCAGACCAGGACCGGCCAAGGCCGTCGGGCACACTGGGGCCAGGGGTGGCCTCCGATGGCAGGAAACCCACACCCTCCCAGGCACACGCTGGGTGTCCACACGGTTGGTGTTCAAGGCCAAATACGGACTAAAGTGGGCCCGTGCCCGGGTGGCACTGAGACCACGCGCAGAAGTGGGAAGGAGGCAGGCCCACAACTGTCAAGTATCACACAAAATGAAAAAGCAAAGCAACTATGAGTGGAACGCAGGACCAGCGGCCACAAGGATTCAGGCATGGCCCGATACCCCCCCCCTCCCCTCCCCTCGCCCCTCCCCACCAGGCTGCAGGTCTGCAGAGGCCCTTAGCTTGCCAGTGGGTCACCCGGCACCGCTGGGCCACCCTCCCTCCCTCTGCACAAGAGCAGGTGATGGAAACACTCACCTTAAGGCTTGTACAAGGTTGAGATCGGCAAACTCGTGGAGTTCCACAAAAGCTTGAAGAACTTTAATGTTAAATTCATCCCTAGGAAAGAAAATGTATTTTACAGCCTCACTGCATGTTATTTCAATAATTTAAAACGACGCTTCCTAAAGCAAGTTTTCATCGTCACATGACTAAAAAATCAGGTATTTTTCACTGTGCGTTTGTTTTCAGGCTGAAAACAAAGGGGACCCAGTAGGATATTAAGCGTTTACTTCACAACCAGTACGAGTTAGGGTAAGACCCCAAATACAAGCCTGATGGCCAACGTTTCGAGTTCCCTGCACTGAGCTGTAAGGCACCGACCCAGGTGCTTGGTACAGATTCTCAACCTCCAAAACCACCACGAAGCAGGTGCTAATCTCGTTCCCACCTCCCAGGTGGGATTTTGAAGCTCAGAGACAGGAAGCAACTCCTCCAGGTCATAAGGCAGAAAGCACAGTCCTGGACCCAGAAAGGATGGTTTGGAAGAGAAGTAATGCCTTACATGAATAACTAGCTTTTAAAAACTAAACTTAGCATGAGAACACAGTAAAAAAGGTAAAGTTTTATGACAAAAAAACTGAAATGACGTAACGGCGACAGCTCAATACACTGGCATTTTAACTCCAAGCTGCTCCCACTGACCATGGGGACACCTGTAACTCGCCCTCCCGGGAGAGCAGGCCAGGCCTCACCTGAAGATGTTCACCTCCACAGGTACAGGCCCATGACCTGTCAACAGCAAGGAACGGCTGCAGCTCAGCACCCCTGTGACTGCGACGACACCACCCACCCGAGGGCTAAGGGTGACCCCAAGGCGGGAAGAGGCCCCACAGCACAAAGTATGTGCTGCAACTTCACCCCCTCCTTTTTCTTTGAGATGAGCTGGTGGCAGGTGTGGGGCTGCTGCCTGAGGGCCCTGGGGCTCCAAGCCCTGGGTGTGCAGAAGCGGGTGCGGATGGGACCCTCCCGGGAAGCAGTGAGCACTCAGCCCGCTGGAAAGGCTGGCTCTCGGGCCCTGGTCTGTCCAGCGCTGCACCCACCAGCTGGTGTCTGCTGAAGAGGCCGCGTGACTTCGTAAAGGGCACGCTCGGGGTGAGCGGGTGTGTGTACACGTGCGTGCGTGCGTTCGCGCAAGCATGCTGAGCACCAGAGGAGTGGCAGGCAGGCTGGGGTACAGATTTGTGCAGCAGGGACAGGCCTGTGACCCAGCACAGCGGTGTGTTCTAAAGTGCGCGTTAGGGCTTCCCTGGTGGCGCAGTGGTTGAGAGTCTGCCTGCTGATGCAGGGGACACGGGTTCGTGCCCCGGTCCGGGAAGATCCCACATGCCGCGGGGCGGCTGGGCCCGTGAGCCATGGCCGCTGAGCCTGCGCGTCCGGAGCCTGTTGTTCCGCAATGGGAGAGGCCACAACAGTGAGAGGCCCGCGTACCGCAAAAAAATAAAATAAAATAAAGTGCGCGTTAAAGGCAAGACAGCACACAGCAGGGTCCCGGAGCACAGGGAGCCCTGCCATGAGGCCGCCACCTCCACCCGGAGAGGAGGAGCGGGGGGTCCGGGCTCACAGGTGTTCAGTGCTCAGCTTGCAGCCAGTGTGAAGCCTCCCAAGGCAGGGGGGCTCCACCCATCCCCCGCTGGAGGGCGGTGTCGGGGGCCTCAGTCCTGAGAAATAAATTCTACCTCCGCGCCAGCCCTCCAGGGACTGCCTGCAGGCCAGGCCGCTCTCCAGAGCTCTCCACCTGACTGTCCACCAGGCCTCGCAAGCTCCTCGGCCTCGATGCCCCACCTCCCAGGCGGCTCGGCCCACGGCCTGAAGCCTCTCACCGCCGCATCACCCCTGCCAGACCTTCCCCCAAGCTCTCCCTGGACCTCAGAGCCAGAGCCTGAGCGCCTCTCACCTCCTGAGCAGCCACCAGCCTGGCCAGAGCCACCCTCCCCGCTCCCGCCTCTGCTCTGCCGCTCGCTCCACACGAGGACCATCTGCTCCAGGGGGAACACACAGCCCTGCCCCTCCCCCGCTGGGAGCCTTCCACACCCCCACTTCCCATCACCCTGAGCACATCCGCCCCTCCCCACATCCCCACACAGGTGCTGCCACCCCAGCTGGACGCCCTGACCAGCCTGTCACACTGCTACCCACTCGCCCAGCTCTTCCGCGGTCCCTTTGCCCTGGTCACCTCTGCCATACCATGTTTGCTTATTTAGTTTGCTTGTTATGTACTGTCTGTATTACTGCAGCCAACGCAGTTCCACAGAGGAGGTACCAACGCCACCCAAGCGCCTAGAACAGTGCCTGGCATGCAGCCAGGACTTCATTTCTCTTTTTTTGGCTGTTGGGTCTTCATTGCTGCGTGCGGCCTTTCTCTAGTTGCAGTGAATGGGTGCTACTCTTCATTGCGGTGGCTTCTCTTGTGGCAGAGCACAAGCTCTAGGCATGCGGGCTTCAGTAGTTGCAGCAGGCAGGCTTCAGTAGTTGTGGCTCACGGGCTCTAGAGCACAGGCTCAGTAGTTCTGGCGCACGGGCTTAGTTGCTCTGTGGCATGTGAAATCTTCCCAGACCGGGGCTCGAACCTGTGTCTCCTGCATCGGCAGGCAGATTCTTAACTACTGTGCCAGCAGGGAAGTCCCCATATTTTTGGACTAAAAATCTGCAGACACTGCCAGACCACGCATTATACTAACGTCATAGTTAATTTAATCTCTGTAGTCGCACACCTGCCAGAGGACGCCGCCAGGGAGTCACTCAGACTCTGGCCCTCCTAGCACGTTGTCCTGTGCTAGGTGCCTGTTAGACTCGGTGCCTGAACTCCTAGGAGACCCTTCCATTTTTTTAAAAAACAGCTTTGTCGAAACATAATTCACAATCTATATAGTTCACCCATTTCAAGTGTGTAATTCAACAGTTTTTAGCATATTTAGTATATCACAGATCTGTGCAACCATCACCACGAGCAATTCTGCAACATTTTCATTCCCCCAGAAAGAACGCCCACACCTGAACCATCGCCTCCCAATCCTCACGGTGCCCCAGCGCCAGGCAACCCCCGTTTCCTGTCTCTATAAATCCGCCAATTCTGAGCATTTCATATAAAATGGAATAACACAACATCGTGGCCTTTTTGTGACTGACTTCTTTTCCTATCATAATGTTTTTAATGTTTTAAATCCATGTTGTAGCATGTATCAATACTTCCTTTCTTCTTAATGCCAAATAACACTGCATTGTATGGAGAGACCACATTTTCTTTATCCATTCGTCAGTTGCTGGACATCTGAACTGTTTCCACTTTGGGGCTGTAATGTGGCTGTGAACATTGGTGCACAAGTTTTTGTGCATACAAGTTTTTTTTCCCCCCTTGGGTTTGTAACTAGAGTAGAATTACTGGATCACATGGTAAGTTGACCATTTTGAAGAACTGCCAACTACTTTCCAAAGTGGCTGCACCAAATTTTTTTTTTTTTTTTTTTGCGGTACATGGGCCTCTCACTGTTGTGGCCTCTCCCGTTGCGGAGCACAGGCTCCAGACGCGCAGGCTCAGCGGCCACGGCTCACGGGCCCAGCCGCTCCGCGGCACGTGGGATCTTCCCGGACAGGGGCACGAACCCGTGTCCCCTGCATCAGCAGGCGGACTCTCAACCACTGGGCCACCAGGGAAGCCCTGCACCATTTTTTATATAGCGGTGTATGAGGGTTCCAGTTTCTCCACATCCTCACCAACACTTATCATCATCTTTAATTACAGCCATCCCGGTGGATATGAAGTGCTGTCTCACTGTGGTTTTGAGCTGCATTTCCCTGATGACTAATGATGTTGAGCATCTCATCGTATGCTTATTGGCCTTATCATATGCCTATGTATGTATCCTCTTTGGATGAATATCTATTCAGATCCTTGGCCCATTTTATAATTACTTGTCTTTTTCTTACTGAGTTGTAAGAATTCTTTTTATGGACTAGACACAAGTCTTCATCACATTTATAATGACCTGCAAACATTTTCTGTTCTCTGGGTTGTCTTCTCCCTTTCTTGAGGACGTCCTCTGAAGCACAGATGTTTTGAAATTTGATGATTCTACTTTTTTCTTTCGCTGTCATATCTAAGAAACCCTTGCCTAATGCAAGGTCACAGAGATTTACCCGTGTTTTCTTCTCAGTGTTTTATAGTTTAAGTGCTTATACTTAGGTCTTTGACCCACTTTAATTTCTGTAACACGGTGAGTGACCCAGTGACACTCTTTTGCAGGTGGCTGTCCAGCGGTCCCCACACCACTTGCTAAAAGGACCATTCATTCCCCCGCTGAATTGTGTTGGCCCCTCAGTTGATGTATATATGAGGGTTTATTTCTGGATTCTCAATTCTATCCCATGGCCTTTCCTTCTACTCTTATGCCAATACCACACTGCCTTGATTAGTGTAGCTTTAGTCTGTTTTGTAATGGGCAAGTGTAAGTTCTCCAATTTTGTTCTTTTTTTTCCAATACAGTTGTGGCTATTCTGGGTCCCCTGAATTTCTACATGAATTATGGGATGAGCCTGTCAACTTCTACAAAGAAGTTAGCTCAGATTTTGCTAGTGAGTATGTTAAATTTTTTTTTTTTAATTAAAAAAATTATTTTTAGTTATTTTTTCGCTGCGTTAGGTCTTTGTTGCTGCACACAGGCTTTCTCTAGTTGCAGCGAGCAGAGGCCACTCCTCGTTGCAGTGCACGGGCTTCTCACTGCGGAGGCTTCTCTTGTTGCAGAGCACCGGCTCTAGGCGCACGGGCTTCAGTAGTTGGGGCACAACGGGCTCAGCAGTTGTGGCTCACGGGCTCTAGAGCACAGGCTGAGTAGCTGTGGTGCACAGGCTGAGCTGCTCCGTAGCATGTGGGATCTTCCCGGACCAGGGGTCAAACCTGTGTCCCCTGCCACTGCACCACCAGAGAAGTCCCGTGTTAAATTTGTTTATCAATGTGGAAGGTACTGCCATTTTTGCAATATTAAGTCTTCTAATCCATGAACATGGATGTCTTTCCACTTATTTGGATCTTTTAATTTTTTTCAATAATACGTTACAGTTTTCAGAGTAAAAATTTTGTTCTTTTGTTAAAATTTATTCCTAAGTGTCTTATTCTTTTTCATGCTACTGTAAATGGAGCTGTTTTCTTATAATATCCTTTTTAGCATTTTCATTGCTACTGTATAGACATATGAGTGAAACTGTATATTGATCTGATTATCTTGCAACATTACTGAAATTATTAGTTCTAACAGTTTGTTAGTGATTCCCCAGGATTTTCTATATGCCAGATTATGTCATCTGCAAATAGAAACGGTTTTAATTCTTCCTTTACAAATTAGATGCCTTTAATTTCATTTTCCTGCCTAACTGCCTTGGCGCGAACTGCCAGTACCAGGTTGAATGGAAGTGATGAGAACAGTCTTGATCTTAAGGGGAAAGCATGAAGCTATGGGTTTTTCACAGGTGCCCTCTATAATGTCGAGGAGGTTCCCTTCTCTTCCTGTTTGAGTGTTTTATTATGAAGCAGTAAATGTTGTCAAATGCTCTTCCTAGGGCTTCCCTGGTGGCGCAGTGGTTGAGAGTCCGCCTGCCGATGCAGGGGACACGGGTTCGTGCCCCAGTCCGGGAAGATCCCACATGCCGCGGAGCGGCTGGGCCCGTGAGCCATGGCCGCTGAGCCTGCACGTCCGGAGCCTGTGCTCCGCAATGGGAGAGGCCACAGCGGTGAGAGGCCCGCGTAACATAAAAAAAAAAAAATGCGCTTCCTAAATCTACTGGGATGATCGTGTGGGTTTTGCTCTTTATTCTATTGACATGGCATCTACTGATAACTGATCTGCGTATGTTGAACTAACCTGGCATTCATAAGATAATGAATACAGTTGACCCTTGAACAACACGGGGGTTAGGGGCAGCGACCCTCCACTCAGTTGAAAATGTGTGTAAACTTACACAGCCCTCTACATACGGGGTTCCTCCACCTCCACGGTTCTGCATCCACAGATTCAACCAACCATGGATCACGTAGTTCTGTAGTATTTACTACGTAAAAACATCCACATACAAGTCAACCTGCACAGTTCAAACCCGTGCTGTTCAAGGGTCTGGTGCACAATCCTTCTTTGATGTTGCTGGATTTGATGTGCTAGTATTTGGCTGAGGACTTTTGCTTCTACAGTCGTAAGTGATATTGGTCTGTAGACTTTTTTTTTTTTTTTTGACTGTGCTTAGTTGCAGCACATGGGATCTCCTTTGTAGCACGTGGGCTCTTTAGTTCCCCGACCAGGGATCAAACCTGGGCCCCCTGCACTGGGAGCAGAGTCCTAACCACTGGACCACGAGGGAAGTTCTTTTATTGTGATGTCTTTGATTTTGGTATCAGGTAGCACTGGCCTCACAGAGTGAGCTGGGAAGTGTTCTGCTTTTCACTTTTGATCAAGTATTTTTAATGAAAAGCTCGAAACAGAAACCACGCTGGTTGAGCGACTGCTGGCCTTCTGTTTAAAAACACTGCTGTCTGCTCCTTGCCCAAGTCTATTCTGACACATTCAGGGGATGCGCTGCCTGAGGACTCCTGCCCTGCCCTCTGTTAAGCAGAGTCAGTGGACTTTTACGTGGAGGTCAAGAAAGGAAGCCTGACTGGCCGCTCTCCACTTAAAAAACAACCACCTTCTACCTTTACTCATACCCCCAACTAACAGGGGAAAGGCGACAGCTGAAAGATCCGGGTATTTCTGTGCAAAACAACCAAAGACGCTTTCCGAGGCAAGGAGCGGGAGGCAGTGGCATTCTTGGTTCTGTCCTGGTTTCCTGGATGAGCAGAGGATTCCAGAGGAACAGCGACCCCGCCCAGCCCCAGGACACCCACACCTCTCCGCTCACAAGGGCACAGGGGAGGAGGTGGCTGCGCTGGACTCGCTCGGCCAGCACAGCCACCCCCAGAGCCCATGTGATAGACCCTGATGCAAGGGTCGGCCCGGGTGGGCAGGCTGCCCCCTGCCCTTGAACTCACCTTTCACCCAGGTAGTCCCCGATCACCGTCTTATTCAGGCCTTCCCCTTTATACAAGAACTGGGCCACGTCCTCCGGGGAGCACTGCAGCAGGTCGTTCTCTATTAGAAACTGAATTCCCTGAATACGAGCGTAAAAAGGAAGCACCGGTTAGGAGGGTCACCAGACTCGTATTTCAAAGATAAATACATTTAGTGTCGTGACCTTACTGGTTCGGACACGGCAAAACTAATACAAGAGCACGATGGGATTCTCACATCACCATAACACATTTTACCCATCAGAGAAAAGCACTTCCACGCCTCCTGGCAAATGAACAGGCTAAGAGACAAACAAGTTACTGAACAAACCGTTCTAAGTGTTATTAGAGATTATAAAGGCAGAAGGAACAATGACACCGAATTTCCCCAGCTCAGGAAAAGGATTTGTGCTGTGTGCGACAGGAACACATCGTACATGGTTGACCAACCCAGCACCCATCCCAAGCCCCCCTTCCCGGACTCCCCTGCAACCAGAAATGACCTTGTGAACAGATCTGGTCAAACAGACAGAGATGAAGTCTGTGAGGAGGACCCAGGAAAGCTGCTCCTTTCCTGATAAAAGGGGACCTGACAGCTCTTTCCTCCTCCTTCCTGCCCTGAATGCAGATGTGATGGCAGGAGCCCTTGCAGCCGGCATACAGGGAAAGGCTGGGAAGAACACAGGACCCCAGTCCTGCCACCTGGGAGCCACTCGACACCCTGCAGCCACCTCCACCGTGAGAAGACAGCCTGCTGCATAAGCTGTCTTCATGGAAGTCCTGCCACCTGTGGCTGAACAGGTAACCAGTCACCATGCCACTGAGCACACAGCAGTCAAATCCACACCCATGGAAGGACCTACGGAGACCAGCCCAACAGTCTCTATGAACGGCTGCAGAGGGGCTGCTGGGCCCGAACTATTGGTTCTCTGTCTCACGGGAAGCCCTAATAATAGCAAAAATTTACCTCGGGCAGAGCTTCTGAGCTGGTTTCAAAATACATATTGGAAAGCTTGTAAGGGAAGAGGGAATTCTGCCCAGAAGCTGTTTCTACAAATGCAGCTAACAGCCTAAGGGCCCAAGACCAGGGATCCCTCATGCCCCATGAATCCATCTGAAGAGTCTATTCATTTTTTTAAACACATGAATGTCCACAGCAGCCTCATTCAGAATTTCTAAAAACTGGCAACAACCCAACAGTGGGTCAGTAAGAGAACCGACAAGTACATTGTAGCACATTCACATGATGGAAGACTATAGCACGAGATGGAATAAACAATAGCACAGATGAATCTACAGACATGACATGGATTAAAGGACTCAGCATATTTTAATTCCACCTACGTAAATTTTTTAAAAAGTAACACTCATCTATGCTGATAGCGCAGAATTCATTCCCTAGGAGGAGACGCCAGGAAGGTGCCCTGTAATGTTCCACAGCTGCGTCTTGTTCTGGGTTGTGGTTACATGAGTATTTAAATTTGTTAAAATTCTTCAAGCTGTACATTTAAAATTTGTGCACCATGTTATTCTTCAAAAAAAAAAAAGTCTACCAAAAAAAAACAGTAAGTCTGACGATCTTAAATTAACTGCCCTATATTTCTGGTGGGAGCTTAAGTGGGTACAGCCACCTGGGTATCATCTTCCAACTCTGAAGACACACACACACTGGAACAAAGCATTCTGATCCTAGGTGTGCAACTGTCCTCACCCAAATTCCGGAAAACAAGGCCTTGGACAAGGGCGGTGCTGGCGCTACTTACTCAGGGGACACGATGCCACGCCCAGGTGCCCATGGAGCAAGGCGAGGGGAGACTGCAGGGCTGGGGATACCCTCAGGGCTCTGTGAGGGAGGGGAGCTCTGTGGAGCTGGGCAGAGGCTCCGAGTCTGACCTAAAAGCCCTGCCAAGAGACCAGAGGCAGAGCTGCCCCCAGCTGCCTCGATGGAGCCCTTGGAGTCCTTGTCGTGAGGACACACGGGCTGGCTGTGGGTGGAGACAGGAGACTCTGCCGCTCCCAACACGGTAGGGGCAGGGGAGAGGGCCTCCCAGGAGCCAGAGGTCGGGGACAAAGGGACCAGCAGAAGCAGAGGCTCCCTGGGGGATCGAGGCTCACATCGGGGTGATAGTTCTGGCCTGGTCTTTCGTGACCACTTCGGCTGTGATACCAGTGAGGGTGGTGGCCCAGCGGCCAGCCTCCCTTCTGCGGATGCTACTTGGCTGTGTGTCCTCAGCGGGGCCAAGGCTGCAAGAGGGTCTTTGCATCCTTCCGACCCTGCTCTCTCCCCACCCTGCCGGCTGTCTGCAGAGTCATCCGACCGGCAATCTCTGCGGCCAAGGGGCCCCGGCAACCTCCTCAGCCTATGTCCCCCAGAATTGAACGGGCTGCGGATGAGGCTTTCCTGGATTCTTCCAGGTGCACACGACCTGCTCTAAAACCCAACACTCCCCAATCACTCGGAAACTTCTCCGAGAGGAAGTGCCATCTAACCACCTCCCAGGATCTGGGAAGGCAGACAGGCTCCGCACAAGGGGATCCCTTCTGTGCTTAAACGTCACATAAGGCAGGCAGAGGAGGCCCCGAGGGAAGCCTGAGCTCCCTGTGCAAGAGACGGAGGCCCTCCCTGGTCATGGAAAACACGGAGCCACTGGCGTGAGCCCAGGCCACAGGCAGAGAGAGCAGCTGCGAAGGAGAAAGGGGCTGGCTGCACCTGGGAGGGGATGAGACAGAGCAGAGGAAGAGGCCTGCTCTCGGCCTGAGGGCACGCACCCCTGTCCAGAGAGGAGGAGACGTCACACTCCAGGAGGGATGCAGCCATAGGCAAGGATGCTGGCAGCCCCGGGAGCTGCGAGAGAGGCTGCAGCAGAGGCTCCCTTGGAGCCTCCAGAAGGAACAGGCCCCACCCACACCTGGATTTCGGGCTTCCGGGCTCCCGAACTGCGAGAGAATGAATTTCTGTTGATTGAAGCCACCAAGGTTGTGGCAGTTTTTTACGGCAGCCCTAGAAAACAAATACATTAGGTAAACACTAATAATTCGGAAGTCCTATTTTATTGCTATTTTTAGTGGCGACTCTTAATTTTAACAAATTTTTAAACTTATATTCATCTACCAACATCCAGAAAACCTTAGCCAGCTTTTAATTTCCTTCCTTTCCTTCTTGCTACTTACATATTGAGATAATCTGGGACTTAGCTTTTAAAAGTATTCTTACAACAATCACTATGTAGACTTAACTGTAAGTTCTTCTGCTCTTTTTTTCAATCCCACATCTCGCCCTTGGGCTCACCTCCGGATTAGAGATGTACTACTCCAACTACTCCATTTCTGGCGCTCAGAGAAGGTCTTAGTGGTTAATTTAAATCACTTTTCCCCAGACTTCGGGAAACACGATTTCCCTATTGTCCTTGATTCGCTGCTGCTGATGACGAGCTTGCTGTGATTTTGTTTCTTCTTAGAGAATCTGCTCTTTCCTTCCTGGAAATTTCGTACACTTCTCTTAATCCACAGGTTTCCTGATATCTTACTCAACATATCTATGCATATAGGTCTTTAAGAAATGCCGCTTGGCATTTGGTGAGCCCTTTGAATTTGAGGACTTGATCTTAATCTAGCTCTGAAACATTCCAATATTTTTTTGGAAATATTTCCTCCACTCCAGTTTCTTTTTTTTTTTAAGGTTTTTTAAATTTATTTTTTTTACTATTATTTTTAAAATTTATTTATTTGGCTGCCTTGGGTCTTCATTGCTGTGCACGGGGCTTTCTCTAGTTGCGGCGAACAGGGGCTACTCTTGGTTGCGGTGTACAAGCTTCTCATTGCGGTGGCTTCTCTTGTTGCGGAGCAGGGGCTCTAGGCACGTGGGCCTCAGTAGCTGTGGCACACGGGCTCAGTAGTTGTGGCTCAGGGGCTCTAGAGCGCAGGCTCAATAGTTGTGGCTCACAGGCTTAGTTGCTTCGCGGCATGTGGGATCTTCCCGGACCAGGGCTCAAACCCACGTCCCCTGCATTGGCAGGCGGATTCTTTTTTTTTTTTAATTTATTTTTGGCTGTGTTGGGTCTTCATTGCTGCACGTGGGCTTTCTCTGGTTGTGGAGAGCAGGAGCTACTCTTCATTGCGGTGCGCGGGCTTCTCATTGCAGTGGCTTCTCTCATTGTGGAGCATGGGCTCTAGGCGCGCGGGCTTCAGTAGTTGCGGCACGCAGGCTCAGTAGTTGTGGCACATGAGCTTAGTTGGTCCGTGGCATGTGGGATCTTCCCGGGCCAGGGATCGAACCTGTGTCCCCTGCATTGGCAGGCGGATTCTCAACCACTGTGCCACCAGGGAAGTCCCCACTCCATTTTCTTTTCTCTCCTTTGGGGACTTCTATTAAGCAACCTTTGAGCTGCCGGGCCTGTCATCCACGTCCCCTTGCAGTTCCGTGCGCAGCTACAGCGAGAATCACCCAACTCCACCTTCGGCTCACGAATCAATCTGAAGCCAAGTCCTCTGTGGGCTCCAGCCCAGCCCTTAGGTTTTTACCTGATGCTGTTTTCACTTCCAAGGATCTTTCCCCCAACTCCCCACTTCTGTATCATGGATGAGCAACATCCTATCACGTCTCTTTGATGAGATTTCTATAAAATACAAACATATGTATACGAATATCGTACTTTTAATGTTTCCTTCTGTTGTTTCTATGAGGACTGCTTCCTCCAGAGCCAGTTCATTTCTGTTGGTTGAGTCCACGTCTCTTTCGTGGTGTCCGTTTCCTCCCACTTTGCTGGTTCCTGGTTGGCTGTTCAAATTCGCACGGAGGATGCTCTGGGAGCTGGAACGCAGTCTCTTTCCCACTTTCGTGGCGGCTGCCTCCAGGGATTTAGCAGAGGGGCGGGTTATGCAGGCGGGGTGGGGGTGAGGGCTCGGCAGCTGGTCTCCGTCAGTGGGAGTTTCCCCCTTAGTGATGGCAGCCCCCAAAGATGTGGCCCCCTTTTCACGGACTAAGCGCCCCCCGGCTTCTCCCACCTGGGGGCACGCTCCACTGCTCGACACGAGGGGAAGGGTCTAGATGCCCACCCCCGCGATGGTCCAACACCCACACCTGCCTCTGAGCAGGCAGAAGCCCTGATGCTGCTCCCCTTCCTGCAGCCTCGTCTCCCTACTTGTGCTTTGGGCAATTCTTCTTGTGTCTTTAAGGGATTCCTCTATTTCTAGGCCACCGAGTCCACTCCTGCTTGTTGCACATTTATGTATTATGTTTGTTTGTTTGTTTGTTTGTTTGCAGTACACGGGCCCCTCACTGCTGTGGCCTCTCCCGTTGCGGAGCACAGGCTCAGGACGCGCAGGCTCAGCGGCCATGGCTCACGGGCCCAGCCGCTCCGCGGCATGTGGGATCTTCCCGGACCGGGGCACAAACCCGCACCCCCTGCATCGGCAGGCGGACTCTCAACCACTGCGCCACCAGGGAAGCCCAATGTGTTATGTTTTTAAAGGCACTTCTAGGAAGTTGGGAATAAAAGGGAGAGTCTGCGGAGTGTTTTCAGCCTCCTTGATCTCATCAACCGTCTCTCTTCTGTATTTATAAACCCAAGTGCTACTCCTGGGTATACACATACCCGAACAAGCCAAAGCTCCTTGCTCAGTGTGTCATCGCTCTGGGACTTAAATCTTCCTCCTGGCCTGAAAGAACGAATTCACTCTGACAAGAGCCTCGTGTTTCACAGTGTCACGTGGTTTAATAAGGGGCCTGGGCCACGGCGGAGATACAAGTTTGAATTGTGAGATCATCCAGTGCTGTTACAGACTGAATGTGTGTGTCCCCTGAAAATTCCTATGTTGAAGTCCTAATCCCCTATATGATGGTATTAGGAGGTGGGCCCTTTGGGAGGTGATTTGGGTTCGATGAGGTCATTTGGGCAGAGCCCTGGTCTGATGGGATCAGTGTCCTTATAAGCAGAGATGCCAGAAAGCCTGACCCTCTCTGCCATGTGAGGACACAGCAACTGGACAGCCGTCTGCAAGCCAGGGAGAGGGTCCTCACAAGAACCTCACCATAATCTTGGATGTCCAGCCTCCAGAACTGTGAGAAAAATTAATCTGTGGCTTAAGGCACCCAGTGTACAGTATTTTGTTATGACGGCTGGCGTTGACTACAAGTGCTGAAACCAAGTCTACAAAACCAGAGAAGTTTGATAATTATTCCCAGAAAAAGCAAACATGCAGACTAAATGTGTCAAGTGGTCTTTTCACACAACATAATTACAAGTAAGTTGTCAAATGGAACCAAGAATTGATATTTCAAAAACTCTTTTAGGTAAACAGTAACACAAAACGAAGCCTGTGGTGCAATTCGCCGCAGCCCAGGCACAGCAGATGAAACACCCGTGTCCGAGACAGGTCAGCAGACACCACGGGGCTCGCCAGGGGCCTGGGCCACCTAGGCTGGGCTCAAGACCACCTACGAACCAACCCCAGAGTCTGCCAGAGCCCAGGAAGCACCACAGTTCCAGGCATGAGTCTCAGAGTCGGGTTCTGTGCTCCCTGGCCGCTCCCCAGCTGTGACACAGGAATTAAGATGGAACCACCCTCAGGAGGTCATCACAGGGACTAAAGTCTCCCAGGCCACATGCTTCCTCAGCACAGCTCCTGACAGAGCTACTCCTCAATAAACGTTAGCCATTATTATTGTAAATCTGACACACAGTATGTGTAAAATAAGACAACAGGCAAGACCCTGATGGTGAGGACTTCAGGCACCACTCAAATCAAGTACTTATTTCTCTGTTTCGAGAGAAGATCTGAATCTCTCCATGAACTGAATGGCGTGCTACCCTGCAGTGCACTTGAAAATTTAAGGCCCAGTTTTTAAAACGTCCTCTTGTTAGACCGTCTCTCTCCTGAGATGCTTCCAATGCTTATTACATCTGCTGATAATTCTACTCTTTAAACTCAACTTCTAAAAAAAAAAAAAAAAAAAAAAAAACTGTTACTAATCCCAAATATCAAATTATTACCCAATTCACAATTTGAATTGTTCTCACTGACAATCTGGAGTTGATTTATACCCTGTAAGCAGAGAATTAGGAAGCAACAGGAAAACTTTCACAGTGGCCAGAGGACCCGAGTTAAACAGAGACCCTCTTGTGCTGCAGCCCTGCTAATATCTTGACAAAACCCAAATGTGCAAACCTTGAATAGGGAAAAGTGGTACGTATATCTTTAAATAACATCTGCAACTGTGCTTGCACCTACAGATGTAAATTTACAGATCTGAGATCTTGCGCAGTGTAATTCCAGCCATCAGCAAACATTTGCCGAATGAACAAATAATTAAGTAATTAGTACAGAGATGCCAGGAAAAACAAGGAAGACGTTAGAAGTGGACACAAATTAAAGACCACTGAGGGGACTTCCCTGGTGGGGCAGTGGATAAGACTCCACACTCCCAATGCAGGGGGCCTGATCGAACCAGGGTTCGATTCCTGGTCAGGGAACTAGATCCAACATGCATACCGCAACTAAGAGTTCGCATGCCACAACTAAGGAGCCCATCTGGCGCAACCAACCAAACAACAACAACAAAAGACCAGTGAGGAATGAAGTCACCGGCAGGGAGGGCCTGAGGCCACCTCTCTGTGGACAACGTGTCTCCTCTCCTCTCCTAGACCATGAACCTTGGCGGCTGATCAGGTCCACTCTTCTCAAAACCAAAACGATGTTACGACTGAGCCACGTGTTCCACAAAGCTTTACAGGTTCAGCTAATAGGTCCTTTAGCTCAAATCTCAAAAACAAGATGCTACATGTTGCAGGTTTCATTTCTTGGGGTGTGCTTTCCTAGAAAATCCAACTTGAGGAAAGACCAAGATATTGGCTTAAATCTGGAGTCGCTTGGTCTTTCAGACAGATGTCTTGTTTTTAAGGTAAATGAAAGGAAGGAAGACCTCTCCCTTGAACCTTTTAACCCCCTAGACCATAAAATCTACCATCTCTGCCCCGATGGGCCATGCGACTCCCTGGCCTGGGGCTCCTGAGGGCCAGCAAAAAGCTCGGCCTGGAGGAACCAAGGGGCCTGACTGAGCGTCAGGCGGCTCCTGTGAGGCCAGCCCCGACTCGGAACTTCCCAAAGAAAGGCCTCCTGGTCCAGGGACTTCTGCTGCCCCCGCTCTTCAGCAGCCCCCTTTGTGGTAAAACTGAACATCAACTCAGTGTCTTTATGAGGTATATGCCCACCCTTGTCCAAGAGGGAGCACGTCTTTAAAATCGATCAATCCATCCATCCATCAGTCTCTCACAGGCCAGAAAAGTGAAGACGTCCTCTTACCTTTTTGGGATCCATGTTGAATTTCTTCCTTCCCATGGCTATCTGCTTGTTCCTCTGAGTAGTTTTGCTGTGCGTTTGAACGAATTAAGAAGTCGTTACTGGACGTCTGCACAAAGCACCGGGAGCTCACGTCCCCTCCCAAGAGGACAACTCAGGAAAGGAAAGGGCACAGGCCCCCAGGTCCCCCTGCCCAGGTGGAAGCAGCAGAGGTACGGCCACTGCAGCTCTTTTCTTTCACAGTTGCTATCTTGTTCAGCAAAAGCAGAGCTTCTTGTTACACAGAAAGGTCACGTCTGGGCAGGGTGTTCTGAGGGGCCTGCACGGCTTCCTCAACTACAAGGCCTGACGGTGAACTGGACCACGTGGGGAGGGGAGAAGCAGGGAAGATGAGGGGGGCGGCGGAGGAGGACGAGGCCCCGACAGGCTCCCCACCCGCCCAGCCCCAAAGCCCGCTCCACCGCGGCCACCGCAGCGTCACGAGCTCGGCTGGAGGGTGACCTGAAGGTGCAGCCACAGCCGCTCACCTCTCCTCCGCGGACGTGAGGTTGTCGATCTCCGTCATCACTTCCGCGATTTCATATTTCAGCCTCTGTCGAGCAAGAAAGCAAGCGTTGTGGGGGTGAGAGAGGGGGTCTCCACCTTCAGAGACCTTTTAGCCCCCCAGGTGCAAGGTCCCCTCAGGTCTCATCGGGACATCGCAGGTACAGAGAAACCAGCACCGCTTATGGACACAGAGAGTCCCGTAGTCAGGGCCACCCTGACTCATGAGCAAACCAAATTACTGTTTGTCCACCTCCCATCAGAACGAGAGCAGAGGGGTCCCATAGGCAGATCCTGAAGTGTTTGTGTGTAAAATCAAGAAGGGACCCTGGGGAGAACATCACAGGTGTAAAAAGATACAAACAGCAAAAGGAAAGCAATGAGTCCCATTATACGTCACCCACACGTGCCCACCTGCCTTCGCCGGCACCTGACTTCTTGGGAAGACCTGGGGCGAGGCTTAAACTCAGTCAGGTCAGGATCGGGCCTCCAACCACCGTCTCAGGATGGTCTCTGTCACTTTCCATGAGACGAGGCACCGTGGACAGAGCCCAGGAGGTGACAACGATCTTGCCTGGGGCCCTCAGACAGGCCAAGGACCCCAGAAGGGACAGACTCCCTACCACTTACTGGCTGAGACAGCTCTGACCTCCTGGGCCTCGGCATCCTCAACTCAAAAGTGAGGTCGCTGGAGCTACACAAGGCTCCTTGGGCACTATTATTACTAACGTGCAAGTCGGAACGTTAGCCTCTTACAGTATGTTCCCCTTCTTCAACCAAAGCACGCGTTCTGGGTTATCTGATTTTTCTGAGAATGACGGGTAACCTTAGAAGAAAACGTTTCATGAATTCTCTCTCAAATACAAAGAGATTTTTATTCAGACCCTATGATCTCAGGTGCCAAGAAACTTCAGGCTCAAGCTGTGAGCCCCTAGAAAGGAGCTACTGTCTGGACACAGCTCAGTTCCGCAGCAAGTGGCCGGGGAGGCCACATTGACTTTGGCGGGACAACGGTTAGGAAGCTTCCCAGGGAGCAGCCACACGTGCAGTCGATTTCCCGAGGAAGCCCCAGACGGGAGCCGCAAGTGCTGCCCCTCTGCATCGTTTCTGCAGCTATTACAGACGCTCTGACTCGGAGACTGTGGCTTGACTCCTCTGGGTCTCCCACGGGACCCCCTCCACCCTGTCCTCTGAGCACACAAGTGTGGAAAGTGCAACGGTTGGCTATCTGTGTTTTGTCCGTCACTCTACTCCCACCAGCTAGTAGGTGCTCGGTGCACAGCTAGAACTCAATATATGTTTAGTCCATTATTCAAAAGACACCTGAGTGCCAACAATGTGCCAGGCAGCATGCCAGGGACCCTGGTAGACGAAGCGGGGCCTCGCTGTAGACTTCCGGGAGCAGTACGTGTGCAGGCGCCACTGCCGTGTGAAGACGCCCTTCGTGACTGCAGAGTCACACGTCGCTCGCCCGTGACTCCAGGCATGACATCTCTTCCAATGAGTCCACGCCGCCCCGTGAGCTCGAGCTCTGCTTCACCAGCCTGGGTAACTCTTACGCTCTGCCTCTCCATATGGTTCGGATAAACGCATACTAAATACCCACTTTTTTACATTTTCATGAAGCTACTTGATTTACAATTTTAAAAAAAATTTATTTTATTGAAGTATAATTGATTTACAATGTTGTGTTAATTTCTGCTGTACAGCAAAGTGATTCAGCTACACACACACACACACACACACACACACACACACACACACACACATTCTTTTTCATCTTCTTTTCCATTCTGGTTTATCACAGGATATTGAATATACCTCCCTGTGCTCTACAGCAGGACCTTGTTGTTTATCCTTTTTTTTTTTTTAATTGGAGCATAGTTGCTTTATACTGCTATGTCAGTTTCTGCTGTACATCAAAGTGAATCAGCCATACATCTACATATATCCCCTCTTTTTTGGATTTTCTTCCCATTTAGGTCACCACAGAGCACCAAGTAGAGCTCCCTGTGCTGTACAGCAGGCTCTCATTAGTTATCTGTTTCATAGTAGTGTATATATGTCAATCCCAATTTCCCAATTCATCCAACCCCCCGCTCTTTCCCCCTTGGTATACATGTTTGTTCTCTACGTCTGTGTCACTATTTCTGCTTTGCCCATAAGATCATCTGTACCATTTTTCTAGATTCCATATACACGCGTTAATATACGATATCTGTTTTTCTCTTTCTGACTTACTTCACTATGTGTGACGGTATCTAGGTCCATCCACGTCTCTGCAAATGACTTGATTTGCAGTTTTACCTAAGAGCAAAAACTAAAAGACATTTTTTTTACCTCGATGTCATCAATAAGTTCCTTTTTTCTTCGACGAATGTCTAAAAGTTCTTCTCTCTCTTCCAATGAGAGGTCTTCAGGCACTGAAAGAAAAAAAAAAAAATCAAGTTAAACAAGTAAACAACAGCTACTCCAGAGAACAATCTGCCAACTTCTGGTGAGGCTGAAGACGGGTATATGTACAAGCCAGCAATTCTGTGTGTAGGTACTATCTCAAGGAACCCTCGCTTACAGACCACATGTAAGATATTCGTAGCAGCATTGTTTTAATAGAAAAACAACCTAAGTTTCCACTAATAAGAAAAAGAATAAACTGTGGTATATTTATGAAACAGAATCCCACACAATTAACAATGGCTGAACTCAGTCTTCCAACACAGATGAAACCCACAAATGAAAAGAAGATAAAAGCAGGCTGAAGACATACACTGTACGTGACACCTTCCACAGAGGGGTGACATATACATACGCAGAGCATAAATAAATGCACGGAAATGATCAACACCACATTCCTTTTTTTTTTTAATGGCAGTTTTTTGTTTTTTGTTTTTAATATTTATTTACTTTTGGCTGCGTTGGATCTTAGTTGTGGCGTGCGGGCTCCAGAGCATGTGGGCTCTGTAGTTGTGGCACACGGGCCCGCTAGTTGTGGCACGCGGGCTTAGTTGCTCCGCGGCATGTGGGATCTTAGTTCCCCGACTAGGGATCGAACCCACGTCCCCTGCATTGGCAGGTGGATCCTTAACCACTGCATCACCAGAGAAGTCCCTCAACACCACATTCTTGATAGTGGTTCCTTCTGAGAAGGTTGGCTTGTGAGGAAATACATTCCAGAACGATATTAGGGAACGTCAATGCAGTGGGTAAAGGTTGGCTGGTACATGGACATTTAATTTTAATTGACAGGGTTGTTCATAATATCCTTGCATTAATGATTAACCTCTGCAGTATTTTCCATTCCTACTATGTCTCTATTCTCTTTCC